CGCTTCCAAAATCATGGAAATCATGGAACTATGGTTATTAGTATAGACAGAATCGACAAATCTGAAAATTCTAGGATTTGAAATTCAAAGGGATTGGGAGAATTTGAAAATTTCGTGTCACTCCGAAACTCGAGAGAGAGAGAAAGAGAGAGAGAGAGTTTCAGAAACTTGGCAGTCGTGTGAGGAAAATCTTGCCTCCAAATCTCCCACTTTTCTCTAACGTAAGCAATTAAATCTAACGCGGTTCCCAATTGCACTCCAATTTTGGAATAGCATACAGGTATTTACGCGTGTGCGTGTATTCCACTCGGCGTGCACACGTGCACCACGAGTTGCATCCGGTGTGTGTGACACGGACTAGTCGCATTGTAGCCAGTTTCGCCACACGCACACACACACACACATACACACACACGTTGCCTAGCCCCGGTGCTGCGTGCATCATCGGTTATGTGCATGTATATGCATGACGCGTTGCAAGCGTGTAGCAAACAACGCGAACGGACGCGGTCGATCCGGCAATCTGATCTAAATACGTCCGGCAACGATACGCATCGCGGACCTACGCTGATTTCCAACCGATCTCCACACTTTTTATCTCCCGCTCGCGATCTTCGCTTGTGGATTTTTGAAAGCCGTCGAGCCAGCCTGAACGTTGCTTGAACGACGTGAAAATGGAGCGGGCCCTGACAGTTATCTTCCTGTTTGCCGAAGAATCGAGAGGAAGTGTACCGAGACGAAGAAGTGAATCTTTCTCTGAATTCTGCATGAAATGCAGCCCTTTCTGCAAGTATTTTTGGAGGATAGAACTAGGTATATATGGTGGCCTGCAAAGGGATTCGATCTATTAGTTTTCTTTATTGACATTCGAGCTTCCATTGTATCCAATATTGGTATAACAAATAGACTGCCGGAAATCGAAGAGTAGAAATCCGCAAAACACATCTAAAGTAGGGTACACTTGTTACGACAATTCCCAAATGAAGCAAATCTTTATTCATTTCTTTGTACAAATGTACACAGGCGGTCCTCGACTTTCGCACATTCTCTATTTAAATGTTAGATTTTTGTCGATACGTATGTGCGAAAGTACTTCGTGCATTTTGACAAATTTTTTGACCATCGTGGAAGAATGTGAACCCAAACGTATGCACATCTCACGTACGAAGGACAATAGAAAAAGACACAGTGTGTTACGAAACTTACTTATCAAGAAAAGAAAAAAAAAAAAAAGCAAGAAGAGTGCAATTCAACTATCTCTTGATAAACTTGTAAAGGAAAGACCAGGTACTAATCGATAAAGTGTTATTTATTTATATCCCGACACTCGTTTAAAAATAAATATTTTTGACGTTTTATTTTCGTACATTTCAACTTTCGTATCAACATTTTTAAAACCAACTAAGCACGAAAGTACTTAAGGGCCGTCTCGACTCAAGGACCGCCTGTATTTTTAAAAGTATGAAATTTTCAATATCAATATCTATTTGTGGTTTTCGCCATTAGTATATATAACAATATTTTCAAGACTGCGTGATAGTTTAAACACCTGGCTCGTGTTTGACGAGCTCTGTTTATCGCAAATCTTTTCTAATAAGAGACACATTAGCCCCCGGGCTGTTGCTTGAAAATCCATGAGACAAATCTATAAGACGGCCCGCCGAACGGATAATCTGTTTTCTTTAAACGTTTTCTTAAACTGCTTCATTCATAACGGACGCGATTACTAATTGAATGGAGTTGTACAGCGTTTGACGTACCACTGATCGATACGATTTTACGTTTGGACGAAACGACGGTAAATAAATCTGTTAAAAACTCTTTGATTCAAATTTACAAACTAGGGAAGAACTCTCCTAAGTCCATGTAAACGGAGTGAATCTTGAACAACTGGATGCAGAAATTATTATTAACTTGAGAGCTACTAATAACAAGTGGAAACGTTTGCGCGACAAAATTAAACGGTTTTTCCGTGTTCCGACTACGGAAACGACTTCTTTGCCAGCAACAATGCAAGATTTACCAGATCCCGTGACAAAGTGTTCCATTGTCTCTCGATTCATCAAATGAAGTCTTAAACGATCGCATTGCCAACATTTCGACGTAATCCTCAATGGTACGCTGGCACAAAGGAGGGAAACCCGACGATAGAAACGAAAGCAATTTGTTAAATATTGCTTCCGACGATGGCAAGCGACACACGAAGCAGGATTCGTTCGAGATTACGAAATTACTTCTAGAGTCTGGAATATCGACGATATTAATCGTATTGTCGGATGATATTAATATCGTTAATAACGGTGGCCTGAACAATTTTTTGTACAATCAATTTAATTTATTTAATTAGTTGGAAGATTCTATATTTAAATTTAAATAATTGCAACTTCAAAATTTCACTCGAGTGAAAACAGAGATTCCTTGTGAACGATGGGAAAAATTTTTCAGGTTGACGTAGGTCACGTGAAAATTCTTGAACTAGTTCCTTGACTAATTCCTTTCCCAGAAGTCTCTATCCTACGAGCAGGGTGTTAGAAAAACAGTCAGGCGGGCGTTTGCCTCGCTGGAAAGCCCATTCCAATGGGCTGTGCAAACGTCGCTCTGGTTTGTTGTTCCAAATCCACTGAGCGAACTAAACTATTCGTTCCGAGTTTTCGAATATTATTTAACAAATAATGACGTAGCGTAACATCGATTGTGAAACGGAATCACGAACTGAGAAGATAGATCGGGAAGAAAGTGGTTCCTTTGTTCAGCATGATTGATCGAGGTCGTTCTTTAGAGATATATGTATATGATACTTTGAAGACTCTTCTTCGCGATTATTATTTTTATTACGTTTTAAAATATCCGAGATCCCACGACTGTGACTCCGTTTCCATCGAAATTGCTGAATTTTCTATTTTATTTGTATACTTTGAGTTTCAAAACTTAATTTCTGATTGCTCGATATATCCACCCGAGCGCGGTGAAAAAAAAAAAAAAGAAAAGAACATCAGTGGAATATTAACAAAAATTCAGGGAATTTTGTGGAATCGTCGGGGAGCGTCTGAATTCGATTTCGCGTTCAAAATTCAAATGGCAACGGGGATTCATATTTAGCACGGCGGGAACGCCGCAGCTCGGTTAATTACGAATTTTAACGCTGTATCTTGAACGCGATTCCGTCGGGCTAAATTGTTCGCAAAACTTTTAATAGCGAGCCGTTAAAATCAAAAACTCTGCTAAAAGCTGCGCCGAACAGAATGATTATATTCTTGAAAGCACGTTTTAAGCACGACCTAATATCATCGTCGCATTATCATCACCAAAACAGCTGCAAAATAGCAAGTCGATTTTTATCGACTTCAAACCCGATTAATAACTACTTAACGTTCATTATAATAATAAATCCTTGAAATTTTATAGTTAACCCTCTGATTTTTCAGTCTCGCTGTCGTGTATCTTCATTTAGACACGTTCTTTACTATTTTCTTTCTCCTTTCCTTGTAGTTTGTTACATTTTTCCATTTTTTCAATTTTTTCTTTTTTTTAAATTACGGATGATGATTTATTTAGAACACTAATTGTAAAACTTCTGCTTTGTATTAATGCCTTTGTTAAGTGTTCCACTTGTAATATTTTGAATGCATTACAGATAAGACTGGTTTTAATAAATGGTTTCGAACATCGTTTCTGTCCTATTTGTATGTTAAAATATTTTGTCATATGATTTCACATCCCCGTTCTCCAACTTAGCAAAGTACCCACTGATTATCTTCAAGAAGCGAACGTTGCAATTATTGAAAGTACAATATGCAAATCGACAATGACATTGCACAAGTATAAAAATACTAAACTTACGCGTGTCTTTTGTTTTTTAAATGAATGTAAATTTCGATTGCGATGCAAAAATATTTATCCCGCTTGTGTCGTTCGGCATTTCCGAATAACAAATTAATGCCATGAAAAATTTATTTGCTACGAAAAAATATTTGCCCGCTCAATTTCCTTCCATAATTCTTTTGAGATTATTGTCCAACACTTCCCGATAATTAAAATTATTGAGGAAGAAAACAATGTTCCAACAATTCTATTTAGAAAACTGCACGTAATGATAATTTCCTTCGAGGAAACGCCCGCTGGCTCGTTGCACGAAGTTCCAACTTGCTCAACGCTCGAACGAGGGTAATATGAAAGATGTATTAAACACGCATCAGTCGAGTCAACATCGAAACGCATGCACGAAACGTTCTGCATGATTAATCGTTAAATAGCTTGAAAAGTGTATTGAATCAATGGTGTATCTTGTTTCCTACGACGAACGGGGAACGAATCAGCGCGTTGCTTCGATAAAACAAACCGCGCACAATGTCGTTCCTAACACGAATACCTTCCCACCTTTATTTCTCCCGCTTTTTCCTTTTTTCCTCTCCTTCAAATGAGTTCCGTGACACGCAGAAAAATGCGAGAAGTTGACACAAACATTCCACGTGCATTTGCGCGCCGCTGGAAAACCCTGAGTGGCCGTGCATTTTATTCGTCGTAGCAACAGATGCATCCGTCGTTGGCCATTTAGTCGAGAACACGGCCAATAGCCGCGGATACTCTCAGCCGTGTGTCGAAGGATCGCCAACTATGCGAGTTTTGCAACGCACGATTCGAAGAAATGCTGGAAACAAGGTTGAAAATTGCCAGTACGTAGCGCAGAATAACCGAGACGTTTCAAAGTTCCAAGAACGCTGAAATATAGTTGCAAGTTTGAAAGATTTATTTGAATTTCAAGAATTCTAGAAATTCGGGATATAAATTGGAGATTAATCTTATAATCAATTTTTGGATCAACTTGCCGGGTTGCAACAACATTGCGAATATCTGACATCACAACGCGCCCCCTTCGTCTTCTTCTTCCAAAAGTAAAGCAAAAATGGCGGAAATTCACGCTCCGTCAGGAATCAAGAATCTCCCATCGCCTGCATCGAGAAACAGGGGAAACGGGGTGAAGAATAGAACGAAATAAAAAGTTCATGGGAACAGAAACTTTATTCAGCTTCAGTTGCATCGAGATGCGGCAGTTTCCGCGCTGAGAATCAAGAAAGACAGATCGATCACGTATATCCGTATTACTTTAGAGAAGTAACCTTTAAAAAACCACGATCTATCTGTCTGTCATCATGCCTCGTGTTTGTCCGCGTGTCCGTGTGTGTCATTTCCATTGATATTTCCGTTTCGTGTTTCGGTTTGTTCTGTTAATCGTGATACATCTCAATTATACGTAGGCACGTATATATAGGTACATGTACATACATACATACATACATACATACATACAGAGGGAGTGTGGGCAGGAGGGGAGGGGGGTGGCGGCGGGTTGCACAGAATAATATTCTTCGTACACCGTGTATATCGTTCGAGTGACGACGCGTGGATTAATAGTAAAGACGAGACTAAAGATCTTAATAAACTTTCCAACGAGATTGTATATTACACTTTGAACAGGCGGGTCTGCTTTCTCAGTCCGATGTAATGCCCCACATTTTGAAATTTCATCGTTACGTTACGGGAAAACGTAATGAAATTACGTTCGTCTCCTCCACTTTATTACAGCTTCCTCCTTTTATTTACACGAATTTCTCGGCCCTCGAGTTACAATTCCATCGTTAACACACGATGTGTTTCGCGTGTTTACCGTTCGCAATTATTCGGAGATCGGTGCATTTCATTTTTTTAGAAACTGCAACAAGTTCAAATGAAACTTCAGGGTTTCTCAGATTCAGAAGAATTCGTAAGAATTTATTATTTTTCTATCTTTCTACAGTAAATTGAGAAATTAAACGAAACGAGCTGATTCGTCCGTATCTTTGATCTAACGTTTGTGAGTTTCTCGAGTCATTCAAATAATTATTAGCAGCAACGCGTCAGAGATCACGCGATAAGTTAACTTTCTACAGTTATTGCTTTACTACGTTGTGATTGGTATTTTGTTTTTCCTTTTCTTTTTTTTTTAATTATTCTAAAGATTCATTTTCAAAGCCTCGATAAACGCTGTAAAAAGTTAACGATGCTCGGTGTGCTGATGATGGAATCGTAGCCTCGAAACCTCCGACTACCTGAATTCTTATACATTTATATTAATATAGTACACATAGACTCGTTCCCTATAACACGTGTTGCACGATACATGGATTCAAGTACCGGACTCGAACTAAAAGAAACGTCGCGATTTGTATCAGTTCGTACAGTCGATTAATGGAGAAGTGGGAAAACCGTCGGTTTCGTTCAAAAAAAACAAAAAAGAAAAAGAAGAAGAAGAAGAAATATGCGAAAATGAGATATTGCACCGCATACCTCGAAACAAAAGAAAGAATAATTACAAAATATTTACAAAGATAATTAGATAAATATTGATCATCTAATTACAAGACGAAGAATCGAATTGGCATAGCCGAAGGAACTAAAACAATTTCGCAATTTGGCACGACTAGTTAGCACCAGCTTGGCTCAGGCGACGCGTACTGGATCAAAATCGAAATTTAGTAGCTTGAATTTGAACTCTGGACATGCAGTGTGTAACGAAAACAATCTAACGCACAGCAGAACCTCGATTTTCGTACGTTCGTTAATGAAAAATTCGAAAATGGTCCCTTGCAAGAAAAATCAGCAAAACATAAATAGAAATTGAAAGAAGGTTACATTTTCTCGTAGCAACAGCAGCATGTAACTATAATCAACTCAGATAATCAAGGTTCTACTACATTCGCAGAAATCTGTATTCAATGAAATAAACATTCCGCGCGTGTATCTGACTTATCGAGCTAGTAAATTTCGTTCGTGAACCACCACGCCTCGAAATCTCCGCCCCGAGGCCAACTCTCGAAAAACAACATTAAAAAAAAAACCCCATTCCATCAAAGGAATTCCCGACCTCTTATCCATCACCTTTACGTCCACCTCTACACGTCGCTTACTCGCAGCATCGTTCACCTTCACAAGCACCAAATCTTCTATTGAACGGTGGGCCCGTTGCTGGATGTCGCTGGCACGTAGTAATTCCTCGCCTGGAGATGACTCTGAATGTGCAGCCCCGAGATTTGACCGCTCTGAATGGCCTGATTGGTCGTCCAGTGACTGGCCGTCGAGATGACCTTAGCCTCGGGACTGGCCGACGGCGTGTTTGGCGACGGCAGAGCGTTTGTCTCGGCCACCACGTCCACGTCCACGTCCTCCTCGTCCTGATCGGCCTCCTGGAGATCGTGTAGCTCGTCCTCGCTGCAACTAAATCTCCTCGTCTTCTGCGGCTTCAGATCGGACTCTATCTGATGATGCTGGTCATCGGGCGCAAGCAGAGACGCCACGTCGAACTGTCTCTTCCTCGAAGGTTGGAAAGTCGAGGACTGTCTGAGAGTTTGACTCTGGAACGATTGTTGCTGCTGCTGCTGTTGTTGCTGCTGTTGTTGCTGTTGATGGTGTGGATGATGGTGATGAGGCGTCCAGATTCCTGGCATCGGCTGAGAAGCCACCGGAGGTCCTAGAGTCGCTGGAGGAGGTGGTGTCGCCGGCAGGGGTGGCGGACTCGGGCTGTCAGGCTCCTCGTCGACAGCCAGACCCATGTGCCTTCTGACCTTCCTCTGAGCCTTGCGTCTCCTGAAATCTCCTCGTCTGAAATCCTCCAAATTCGCCGGATGTATGGCCCAGTAGTGGCCCTTTCCATTGGCGCTTCTGCCCGACTTGACGAAACAGTCGTTCAAAGATAGATTGTGTCTTATCGAATTCCTCCAGCCTGGCCCCCGCGTTCTAAAGTAAGGATAGTGTTCCAATATGTGCTGGTAGATGTCCGATAGCACGAGTTTCTTCTCCGGCGAGGAGAGGATCGCCATGGCGATCAGACCGATGTAACTGTGTTGGGGTTTCGGCTCCTCCGGTATCCGCTGGTGATGAGGATGGAGAAGAGCCATGGAGAGGGCTAATCGACTGGGATATCCGGCAGCAGCGGCCGCCGCCGGATATAGCGGTAGCGGCGCAGGAAACCCTGGGCCCATTCCTAGGTGAGTTGGAGCGCTAGACGGAGGGTGGCCTACGCCTGGATGCTGAGGGTGCAACTGCTGAGCCAGCCTCAATCTCTCGGCCATTGCGTAATGGTACAATTGCAGTCTGTAGTGTTCCAATCCAGGCAAGAAGCCTGTCATCGGGTTACCTAGACCGACGGCTAGCGGCTCTTTCGCCGGCGGCGGGCTCTCGTTGCTGCACATGCTGCTCTCTTTCTCTCTCTCTCTCTTTCTCTCTTGTGAAAACCGATCACTTCCACATCAACTCCACGATCTTCATTCAGCGTCTTTGCGAATAATGAGGAATTTCCAAAGCGAAATGTCTACTTGGTATCACTGATACGATACGATACGCGTTGCGAGCGCGAGCGAATGCTTGCTTGGGTCGAACCTGAGCACACAGCCGCCGGTACCGAAGCGAGGTAGCGAAGAAACGAAATTAGAGATCGGTACTACGGAGAGTGGATCGATCGCGGCCGATGTTTTCCAAAGGTTTTCAGGCTGTTTGTCACGATGCGCTCCGAGCGACCGACTGGTCATGATTTACGACTCGGCCGTCTGCCAGGAGAGCACCTCCACCCGATGGCTTCTCCCCACTTGCCGCCAGGGTAGAAACGACCAAGCTCCGCCCGTTTACCCGGAACAGAGTGCAGGCTTCGGGTACCGAGACCAGAACCCGTGAAACCATCCTCCAACCAATAAGCACAGAGAGGACGGTCGAAGATGGAACCCTCTGCCATCCGCCACACCTACCACCATGGATATTGATCCTGAGCTTGGTACCTAACGCGGGGGCGGCGGTGGCGCGACTAGCCGATGCTGCCCGGTTCTCTTATCTCTCGATACGAGAGCTCGATATCATTGCCGGCGATCGGAGACCGGCACCGAGAAACGGGACGATGCGTTTCGGAGTAGCGAAGGACTCGAGCGCTTACGAAGCAACAGTAGCGTATTTCTGTTTATTACGCTGTACTCCTGCTTAACCAACACCCTCGCAACTCGATATTTTTGGAGTAGGTCAGATGATTCTTTTCTTTTCGGAACGATATGCTGACGAAAGCGATAAAAATTACTACCGATTGGTAACTGATAATAAACACGTTGAAATGCTGAAGTACTCGTTTCCCACGCATAGTTTCTGAAAGCTACGATCGTCCAAGTGATCGACTAATAAGTATTTAGCAAGTAGTTGAGTCTGGAGTGTAGAATTATTATTGAGTTGGTTTGGAATGACCAAATATTTCCTGTACTCCAAAAATAGGAAATTACAGCATGTGTCTATATATAATCATATCTACTCACATTAAGGTTGATAAGATTAGGAGCATCGAGAATATAAGATCTAAACACAGAATATTTGAAGTAGTGAAATTTGATTGTACGATTATACTGTGAGAAGAGGTATAAAAAACTTGTGTCTCTGCGTTATTAAAAAAAAATTGAACGAAACTCCAATTGCTTTAGCTGAATTCATGAGAATACGAATTTACATAAATGTCTACAGTCCAATTATAATTTTAAACTTTCCAAAATTTTTTGACATTCTACGTTTCCTACGAAAACTGATTGATCCTTAAAACTATAGCAGAAACTGAGAAATTTCACGAATTAGACGCGTCTGTTCCGAGCGTTACATCTATCATACTTCTTCACACGATGCTACTTCCGTTCTTTTAAAAACAGACCTGAATATTCAACATTCTTTATTTATATGCAAATCGTCATATTCAACTGGGAAGTGTTTTATTGCTTAATGACTCTTACTAATGATCTCTTCTCTTTGCCCCACTGTAATAACGAAATAATTGAATGTGCAAATCTCTGAGCAGATTTTTTGCTGCGTAACATTACGTCGCGAATAATCATTCTAAATTTCTTTTCACCTTCGTTTCCAGAAGAACGATTATGACAAAATTACCTTTACACGGTAGATACTTATCCGCCTATCTGACGAATTTAATCAACAATTCCCAACAAAAAAATTATCTTATCCAGAAGCTGGACCGAAGCGACAACTTTCAAATCCACCTATTTAGTCACCACGGCCGCTACCTAATTCGAAAAGGGGTGTGCCGCTTCTCAGAATTCCCTCCACTTACCCCGAAGCAACGAGCGCATGGTCTCTCATTCACAGAATCCTTTTCGTCCTTTCGCACACGTACGCTGCGACAAAAGACACAGTGAGCGTAGAAAGGGAGATGCAGAGAAAGAGAAATAGAGAGAGAGAGAGAGAGAGAGAGAGAGAGAGAGAGAGAGAAACGAACCGGTACGCGCATTTATATGAAGGCGCCGCCCTGCAACTATTTGTAAGCATCCGCCATGCTGGTTTCATATCTGCCGTTTCGGCTTGCACAAAAACACTATTTTTCAGCAGCGGCCCAGCTGCAATATGGCGCGTTTACACGACACGCTGACACGCCGTGCATCGACTCCGATTGCAATTGTTGCGTTTCATTGCAAATAACAGCCTCGCGCCCCTCCGCGGCCCTCCCCGCCCGCCTCGGCCACCCTTCTTCTGCCCTTCATCATTCGTTGATATCGCCCTCCCCCCTCCCCCTCCCCCCTCTTCCCTACCACCACCGTATTTCCCGCGTTCTTCCGTTTTCGTGTATCGTCCACGGGGATTCCGAGTCGTGTCAATTGGAGTCAGAGTGAGTGTGCGTCGAATGAAATTGGAACTCGACGAAGAATGGAGTTTATTCCGGTTTGTGTTGCATCTTGGAGTTGCGCCCCAGTGAACTAGATTTATTTTTGAATTGCTTAATTTCAATCAGCGCTCTTGTCAAATCTATGTATTCATTTGTCCCGTGACCAAGTGTACGTGAACGAAGCTTTGCTGCAGGTACTGCATCCCCCGTTTCACAACTTTCTCGAACGAAGGGTGGAAACTGTGACGAATACTGAAATTTGGAGCACGCTTTTCTCTTTCTCTGACGAGAGAAATTCTTTCGTATAATAATCTCCCGAAAAATACGATTATTGCAATTATAAGTTTCCAATGCTTCAAAATATTAAACTACCGAACCTCTTCGAGCGTTGAGGTAAAAAAAAAAAAAAAAAAGAGACGACAAAACGTAGCTCTTGAAAGGTGCCATCAAATTCCCCAACAAATCTATCGCGTCCCAGCCTATTTATCTCGCCCCGATGTTCCAGTAACTCTATATTCAGACCGATCAGATACAATTGCCTCTCGGAACCGTCATAATAAGAAGCTTCGTTCCAGAGTGTCCATTTTGCTACTTTCGTGCGTTCCACCTCGTTCGGATAAGATCGCCGCTCTTAAAGTAGTAGCCAAAGAAACAGTATCGTTTGTCGCGGAGAAAAGCAACGGTGGCCACACGAAACCTGCTGTCAAAACACAATAAAACGAGAGACGATCCAACGAGGGAGGAGATCGGCGCTCGATTTTTGCCCCCGCTTCGTCTTCAACGTCGCAACACGCAACGCGCATGCGTGTGTGTGAAAAGTTCTTACGTCTGTGCATGCTTGTAAATGTGTACAGATATACGTCAGTTAAGCACACAGGCTGAATGTATATAGATACCGGAGTTCATTGTGTGGCGTGGCTAAAATGCTCTTCTCGCGGCGAATAATGGCGATAATTGTGACGAAATGGAGCGTCATTGTGGGAAAAAAGGTACTGTAACGATCGAGGCCGGGTAAGTGGCAGATGCGTGGCGCTCTCGATTGACAGTTTCTCCGATTTCTTTTCTCGTGGTGAATCGGTGGTACCGATTCGTATTCCTCCTTTAATTTATCTCTTCCACGTTACAGCACATCCGTGCACAGTGCTCTTCTCTACATAGAGTATTCAGTAAATAAGTTCCTTTCCTACCTCAAGAACAATTTGTTTTAGTCAATTGTAATGAATAGATTCATGCTCGTTTCTTCTTCTTTTCATTCGTCGAATCAAAAGTAAAAATTCAAGTTAAGCGATTAGATTAATTTCCTTTCCTTATACAGTATCACGTAGTGTATCGCACGTGAAATCTGCAATAAACGGACCGCGATTTGAAACAATGAAATTTTATCGTTCGATCGTGATCCATTTATAACTTCGTCAAACTGTGCAGCCGTTAATCTCTGTTTTGCCGATACTCCCGGTATAATCCAGAAACAGAGCAGATAGATAGCGAGCAACTCCGATGGCTTAAGGTTAATAAATGTCGTGGTGGAGTGGCGACCGAGCAGCAACTTCGTGGCAGAGGGACGGTCGAGTTCCGAGGCAGCCGGACTGCGCAAAGTATCTGTTAGTTTTGATGCTTCGAAATACACTCCTAATCGGTTTTCAAACTCCCCTAAACGCTTGCGAGAACGTAGGATCCGATAAACCAAACTTGAAGATTTCCAGGCGACGGAAACGAGCTTTCGAAATCGTCGGAGAATCCCGACAACTACGCGTGCAAATTGCGCTTAATCGTATTCGTAGAATACGTAGAATCGGAATGTTAATTCGCGCGCCACCGTGATCGAATCGAGGGACATTTTATTCGTAAACCTGAAGAAAAAAGGAGAAAAAAAAATAGACGTCGATTCGAAAATGATCGTAAAGTAACTGCAGTGAAATATTGAACATTTATTTTAAAATTGACGGCAGATTCAATTACTCGACGGAGCACGGATTTTAAAGTGCATTTAATATCAACTTCTAATTATCTTTCGATCCTCTTTCGGAACTATTCTTTGTCGTAACTTTTTAACCAAGAGAAGCAGAATGTTTCGAACGAAGGTTTGTGATAACGAAAATTGAACACGTAGTGGCAATTTTATTTCTTAAAAAAAAAAGGATTTCACTCTCTAAAACTCATCCTCGAAATTTGCAACACCCCTTGATTTTGATGAAGAAGATTCGCGTGTAACACTGTAAGAAAGTAACTTGTAGTATTTTTTTATGTGAAATACCTCGTACGGACGATCAAACGTGTTTATTTGATAAAAATAAGATTTCCAAGAATGGAATTGTAAAAATATTTTGATTAATGGAGAGAGTTTGATATTAATGAATCGGAGCACAACGTAAATGGAAAGTAACATGATTAAAGTTTCACGTAACCGACCGGTATATCGCATCCTTTGATTTATAATTTAAAACGTAATCGTTTGCAGAACATCGTTTATTATTAACACAGTTGGCGAATATACAGAAATGCTCGACAAAGGCATCGTCATCAATTTTGATCTGCTCGAATTTTTATTTGAGACGAGGCGTACATATGAAAATCTTTGAGAAAAACAAGTCCATCAATTTCTATCGTCGTAATTCTATTATCGACACTAAAGGACCCCAACCAAATGGAACAATTTGCACTAAAAATGTTCGCTATGAAATCGAGAAATATCACGAATTAATCATCAACGATTCTAACAATTTTACTGGGAAATGTTTGTCGAAAGTTGTAGCCGGAGAGGAGCAAAATTAAATACTACGTTTCACAGAGATATATACCTACTCCCAAATTCCTCCCATTTATCGTCTCATCCTCCTCGCAACCCCTCCACAATTCTCCTCAACAATATTCCAATTCCCTTTAACGTCTTACAACTGCTGGTATTATTTCCCATACAAGCAGCATCCACCCTTCGCATAATTAACTTCACCCACCCCCCTCCGTCCTCGCCCACCTCGCCAGCTATTCCATCGAAGGCTCTGCTTCTGTGAGCCAAATCGAGCGACACCAGCAACATTTCTGCGGCTGCACGCGCGTTCAGACACGGCGGGCCCGGCGAAGAG